ATTTGTAGAGGTAAAGAATAGAATCAAAGGTAAGAAAATGGCGAGTATGATAACGAGAAGCAACCTTAGCGAATTTAGCAATCAATTGCATATATAGTTTACATGAAAGGTCAGTAGTAAACAATAATCCAAGAAGACCTAAAGAAAAGGACAGTGAGAGGGTTGCCTTTAGTTAATATAAGAATTTTCATAGTATTGCGATAGTTGTTTGCAATAACTGAGTTTTGTTGGAGTTAAAATATTAAAGCCACTGGGAGCCCCAATCTGATACAGAAGTGAGGTCAGATTTACAATCGGCTACCAGTTTTAAGCAATCAAAAAGAGAAGACTTTTTGCTAAGATAGGAGTATGAAGTGGAATCATTAGCAAAAAGAGCTATGTTAGGTAAAAGGTTTCAGAAAGATCATTTATGTAGATAAGAGCTATGTTAGGTGAAAGGTTTCAGGAAGATCATTTATGTAGATAAGAGACAAACAGAACAAAGGATAGAAACCTGAGGTACCCCAGAAGTTACAATAAAGAAAAGTGTTGGCCTTTGAGGATGACCTTAATGAAGCGACACGCTTTCATTGACCACGCATATTATTTTTTTGTTGATAACTTGGTCAGGATTGTTTTTGCCTATATTAAAAATGGTGCACTTTAAAGATGCGCTGAAAAAATTAAACTAATTTTGCATATTATTTTATTTTTCTTATTAATAATTTATTAGAATTATTAATGAGAGAATGAAAACATAAAAAATTATATATATGGGCAATTCCATTTTTAACTTACATTATATGCGCAACTTTATCAAATATATGCCTATTTAAACTTTAAATTAAACTTTTAGCTATTTTGTCAGAAAGCTGTTAGTCTAATGAATAAAATAAGCTAAAAATTTTTAAATCTGGCCAAAAGATGGCGAACTTATTGCTGAAAATGCCACTTAACTAACGTTACATGGAAAACAAGGTAAAAAAATTGCTTCAACTTTTAGGTCTGATTTCTGCTAATTAGTAAAGTGGTTTGTATTAGAAACTTTCACAAGATGTTGAGAATACTTTACCAATTTAAAAAATATATAAAAATTTATCAGAGGTGACTGGCTAAGAAAAATAAACTTGCATTTTTGATACTGTATATTTAACTTACATTACATCACTTACGTTACTGAGCGATTATTATCGCAGATTTTTTATATCTATTATTAAGAGTTAGAGTTATGTAAAAAGTATTTAACTTATTCATTAAAATTAATAAAGGGAATTTTTAAAAACTGGTGGCACTCTTCCGGAGTGTTTTTTCATAACATTCATGAAAGTTATCAAACCAAAAACAGTTTTTTTGCAAGACCAAGAGCAACTTTTAAAAATTATTTTAGTATTACAACTTTATTAATACTTAATTGAGTCATTTAAATTGGTTTGTCAAAGTTTTTACTTACACTTCTTACGTTTATGCGTATTGCCTTATTTTTATTAGGTTGAATTTTTATAATGCTACAAAGTATTTACATTTAAATCATTTAATATATTTTTGACCTAAAAACTGCTATCACAGTTTAGGAGGGAAAGGGTTTGACAAATATAGGGTGACATTTTTATAAATGACCCCCTAAACAAACGATTTGTTTTACTAAAACAAAAATAATAAAGGTTCCTGATTTTTTTTATATTAGGAGAAAACCAAATAAATCTTTTTGTCTAAATAAAAATATTTATATAATTCTCATTTTTATTCATTTAATTACATTTATGTCAACCAAAATAAGAATACATAAACAAATAAATAAAGAATAATATAAATAATTTTAACATTAAAAAAAAAAAAAAAATATTTTTTTAAAATTCTTGCAATATAAAAAGTTTTAGTTAGAACCTTGTCAAACCAACGCGACAAAATAATGACATAATATTTTTTGTAAACAAAAACTTAACAAAAAACCGCAAGAATTTTAGTAAACGCGTGTAGTTTTAACTTATGCACACAAATAAAAATGTGCTTAAACTAAGCATAGTTATTTAAAACTTTAAATGCAAAAACATAATATTTAATATTCTTTTGCATATGTTTTTAAAAAACTTAAGTTTTTAAACTAAATTTTAGAAACAATTGTTATAATTTTTTTATTTAGAAATACTATAGACATTTTTTTAAAAAACATAGCAAGCCCCTCAAATAACAAGCTGATCTGGCATAAATAGCATTTGATCTTAGAAATTTAATAACATGTGTCAAGAATCACTATTGACTTTTTAAAAATTGTTATGATGAAAAAAAAAAAAGCAATTGTAAATAAAAAAAAATAATCTGTTAATAAAAATAATTTGTTAATAAAAAAAATTTAAATAATCGTTTATTTGATGTTGGTTGTTTTTATTTTTTTAATTTTTATAGCCTGTTTTCTTTTTTTTAGAAAAAGTTAAAACTAAAATGACAGGTAAAATAGTTTTTTTAGTAAAATGTTTGTTTTTTAGTAAAGTGTTTCAGTTTTGTCTTTAGTCTTTTTAGAACATTTTAAGCAAATATTATTTTATTTTTTTAAAGCAGTTAAAAGGAGCTGAAGGTCTTTTTAGCAAATTCAATTCATGTTATTAATTATAAATATATATTTATAGATTGTTTGTAGAAGGATTAATGAGAATAAAATTTTATTTATGTATTTAAGATGAAAGGTTAAATAAAATGACTGTTATTTGTGGACATGTAAGTTTATATACATGTAAGTTTATATATTTCTCTATATCTTTATGCATATTTCCTCTGAGAAAAAAAAATAAGGATTGGACAAAGTAAAAAAAATTCTGCTGGAAGTTGTCAAAAGAATGTTGTGCTATGCTTCATTTTAAGTTATCTGAATATATATTTATTAGAAATTTTTATTTTTTTCTTAAATGGTTTTATCTTTTTCATTACTTTAGATAAATATATACTGAATGACATAACTTCATTTTTATTAACAATGTTGTGCGTTGTAGTCGACATTCTTTATTACATTAAAAATAATTGATACTAATAAATGTTTTTTTTTAATTTACTTAGATTTATATTAAATAAATTTAAGTTCATTTCATAAACAGTTTGTATTTTTTTTTATTTAGTAAATTATATATACTTATATATCTATATAAACTTATCAAAAGGATATGGATTTCAATAAGTCTTAAATTAAATTGTTATAGGTTTTTATTGTAAAAATTGTTATTTTGAATAATGTAAGAAAATGCAAATAAAAAAAAAAATATGAATAAATAAACTATGAATTATCAGATGAAGGTGGTAAGATAAATTATGAATTATCAGAATAAATAAATTATGAATTATCAGATGAAGGCGGGAAACTCAGTAAATAATAATTCAAAATTTTTAAACTATTATTGAAACTAAGTACAGTAAACGGCTTTTTTATGAGGGCCTACTAGCAAAATATATATATATATATATATATATATATATATATATATATATATATATATATATATATATATATACATATATATATATATATATATATATATATATATACATATATGACAAATGTAACAAACAAACAATGTAAGATTAAATTGCAACACAATATACAAATGCTCAAAGAAATAATCTTGATAGATTGGGCATTTGAAGTCTGATATTAAATTGGCATGGTATTATATACTAATATATTTACATTATCAAAATTAAAAAAGTAATTTTCTCATAGGATAAGAATAGTTTCTTTATGTAACAATTGTATCAAAGTGAAAGATAACAAATAAACATTTCCATACAGCATGCCGAAGGAGAGGGGTGTATGTGATCATTTAGATTTATAACTAATTTATAGCAGTCTTTCACAGGAAAACGTGCAATCATTATATGACCAGGCAAATCACATTTTGCTTTGACAATTTGACTGTGGCTATTTCAAAACACAATTTAAAAACGTCCTTAATGTAAAATATTCTGAATTATACCTTAGGCAAAATAAATTACATCAAAATTTCTTAACAAACGTTTTTATATTAGCGAAATGCTTTTAAATAAAGTAACAATTTACTGATAATTATTTTTTTTTTAAGTATAACTGACAATTGAATATAATTTTTTAATTTATATAATATAAATTGTTTAATTGTAAGATTTTTTAAGCGCATTTTTAAATTTTGAAAACATGTCAAATGCCATGGTCAAATTACAAAACAAAGTATTTTATGCGTGGTCATATAATAGCGTGCGATTGCATGCCTTCCTGTGAAACACAGTTATAGCTAATTAAATTTTTTATTAAAAAAAAGTTAAATTGGTGTTATACATGTAATTTTTCTTTTAACGATTATATACTAAAAATATACTAGAATAAAAGAAAACTATTTCAAAACTTATGCCAAAAAAAACAACAAAAAAATTGCTAAAAACACACACACACAAAAAAAAACACAAGCTTTTTTGCAAGTCTACCAACAACATTGTATACCAAGCAACTGTCACTTCAGATAGTCCTGATGATAATTAAATCAAAAAATAATTCATTGGTATAAGTGAAACTTGTAACAATTTTTGAAAGATTTATTTTAAGGATGTGCCCATTGCAGTTTGTTTAAGTTGTACAAAAATCAATATACAATACATACATACATATATACATTTATATATATATGTATATATATATATATATATATATATATATATATATATATATATATATATATATATATATATATATATGTATATATATATATATACATATTTATATATAATACTCGGAATTAGGGTCGGCATTTGGCAATGCCGATCTAACTCCTGACCTTAAAGTGTTTGAGGTGGGCAAAAAATTGCTGATCTTGTTTCTGTGTTATGGTAACCCCTTTGTGTCAAATTTTTTTGCCAACCTAATCCCAACTTCCAACAGTTTGAGGTCGGATATATATATATATATATATATATATATATATATATATATATATATATATATATATATATATATATATATATATATATATATATATAAATGTAAGACTTTAACAACAAACATATACATTCATTTTGCTGTGCATCTGATATATCACTGTTGACATCTTTAGATGACGACATTCCTGGTTTTGGAGCATTCGACTGAAAAATAAAAAATAGATTTTAATACACAACACAAAAAATATTTTATCCAGGTTAGAGTCATATAACCTAGATAAAATTCAGTTAAGTTTGTTGAAAAAGTTTTATGTTAGGTATTTCTTTGAAGGTTAAGTTGTAGGGAATATTTTGATCAGAGTTGTATGTACACATTTACACGCTTTAGAGGCACTTCTTCCTCCCAAAATTGCCAATAAGTTAATGTTCATGTAAAGGTTAGCAAGACCTATATGATTATTCAGTATAAACTTTTAGGTCTGGTTGCAGTAAATAAATTCAACCAGAGTGGAATAATGACAAACATTTTTTGATATGCAATACTGCAACTTTTATTACTAGTTCTAGATTTTTATTACTAGCTATAGAGCTAGAATATCTAGAACAGAAGGTTTTCTATAAAAATAGCTCAAAATTTAGGGAATTTCAAAAGCTACAATGGTTTGATTTTAAAATTGATCATTTCAGGAAATAATTATTATAAAAATTTAACTGCATTTATTTGTGAAATCAAAACTTGCAAATATTGGGCAAAAAGAAAAATGATGAACAGTTCATTAACAACTTAAACTTCCAAAAGTGTTCTACACAAGTCAGACATCTTAGCACAAGTACAGACAAAAGTACAAAAACTGTGTTTTAACTGTTAAATAGGAAACATGCCATCTATCGATTACCGCATTTATCACCACCGTTTTATCACAACAGTTTTAAAAGAGCATTCCTTCCAAATGTTTAAACAAAAAAAAATTTATGAAAGACTTTTGAGCTACACAACAACAAATTTGAACTCGGAAACGAAATCTTATTTTCCAGAGTTGTACACTGGATTTTTAGATGTTTGAACTTCAATACTTGCAGGCAACTCCAAACACCACAATTCTTTGTCCAAAATTTCCAAAAAAGTTAGGTTTTTTGTTCCCAAACATCAATCCCCGCAATTCATTGCAAAACATTCTCATTTGACATAAGCATGAACATACAAAAATTTGGAATTTGCACATTGTCTGTAAGTATCAAAATTTAAACATCTAAAAATCCAGTGTACATCTCCGTCTTCGCTATCAAAGTTTGTTATAATCACAGTTGTTACACTATTTTCAATACTCATTACATCAAATTAACTCAAATACAAATGAGAAAATATTGAAAAAAATGTTGAAGAAAATTCTTTTATTTGTTTAATGGCTGTGGCAATTTCTTAAAAAAAATCAGCCAATCAAATCAATCAAATTGAAATAAATAAAATAATTCAAATAATTCAAATGTAATAAAATGAAACACAAAAATGAACAAAGAAAAAAAAGTGCAAAGACAAGCAATGACATAAATTTAATACAATGAATGACATTAATATTCTATAGGGGAGGGATTACAAATGCCTCTGAACCTTCCAATTAAAAATGCACTTGTTTACAGTTGGATCAAAAATATTCTCCACATTCAGAACTACAAAACAATAAAAAAATGAAACATTTGCAACATCTTGAACCAAGATCCTAAAAGACTCCTTTAGGATTAATTTTTAATGGTAAACATTTAAATTTAATGATCGATATTAACAAAAAAGCCACAAAAACTATTAATAATATTCAACTTATTTTAATACTGTATAATAATAGAAATAAAGACTTACAGCATTTGAACGATACCCAGTACTAGTTGAAATTCCACTACTAGAAGAAGCTCCAGCAACTGTGACCTGTGTCACAGTTGCTGGACAAGCAACTGTGCAGCAACTTTGGACCATTTGTGTTGGCTTATATTGATTTTGAGTCTTGGACACCTAAAAATACAATAAGTATTTTTTTAATTTAAATATTATTTTAAACAATATATGCTAACTAAGATCATTTGAATCAATTTAATTAAAAGAATAATTAAACACTTGATTTGTGAGAAGGTTGAAAATAGTTGTTAATTTCATACTTATATAACTTCATAGTTGTTAATTTCTATATCTCACTATAGTTTCGGTTATAAGGATAAGTTTATGAAAAAATGTATATATATGGAGACAAAGAATTTTTGTACAAGTTATTGTTTTCTCTATCTCTCTCTCTCTCTCTCTTTATATATATATATATATATATATATATATATATATATATATATATATATATATATATATATATATATATATATATATATATATATATATATATACATATATAAATGTTAAGACATTTTAGCCCTGGTTAGTAACCCCTGCTAATTTGACTGTTTAAACAAGATCAGGTTTGATAAAAGGTCATATGATAGGTTGTATTAAGGTATAAGGCCATATGTATAGGTTGATATAAAACTCATAAATAACAGCGCCCAGTTTGATTTTAAATATTTGGAAAGTAGAAATAGACAAATCTTCTAATAAGAAATAAGTCAAATTTGACTGAATAATTTTAGTAAAAACTGTATTCACCACTCAAGATATTCAAAGCTTCTTTTTTAATTAAAGTATTTGTGTTAATATTGGCATTTTTAAGTAAACCATGTCAATTCTTTGTTTAATAGATTGAAACACCTTTAATTAAAGTAATTGGCTATGATAAAAAAATGTAGAACTACGAAAATAAAACTGATTTTGAAATACAAAAAACCAAATTTCAAAATAAGATTTAGATATAAATTGTATTCATCAACTACAGTATGGGACAAAAAATAGTGAATTTTTTTTTTGCGCTTTTTTTTATGCTTTCTTTTATAAAATGACGCTTTTTATTTGATTAATGAATTCAAATTGATGATTTGGAATTAGTTAATAGCAAATTCAAATTCCTCTTGAAAAATGCTATAATTTATATATGTACAAGTTTGTATGAATCATCATTCTTCATATTCTAATAACTTCTATGTATTTAGTTATATTGTTATCTAATAGACTTTTTAAATAATGGGTAAAAGATAATTATAAATATACCAGAAATTTGCTGATTTCTTGAAAATTTGATACAAGTTTGCATCTAGTTGTAGAATTGGAACGCAAATTATAACACTATTAAGAATTTTTAATTTATAAAAAATTTAAGTTATAAAAGTATACTTTTTTTTATGATGATGCAATTAAGGAAAGTGATGATGCAATTAAGGTAAGTGGAAACAATTAATTAAGGTAAGTGGAAACAATTAATTAAGGTAAGTGGAAACAATTAATTAAGGTAAGTGGAAACAATTAATTAAGGTAAGTGGAAACAATTATTTAAGGTAAGTGGAAACAATTAATTAAGGTAAGAGGAAACAATTAATTAAGGTAAGTGGAAACTTACCTTAATTGCACATTTTGATATTGAACAACTCTTAGTGGAATTGAACAAAAAAATCACTCGCAACTTGATTTTTCATAATAAAATGCAAAATGTTTTCTCTACATGTTTTTTGTTTTGAGCACATTTTGGTAATTACTAACACAAACTTGTTTAATCAAGTACAAAACCACATTTGACACAACTTTTGTAAATGATTGAAAGAAAGAGCTGTTGTATTTTATTAGAAATTATCAGTAAGTGAACATGTAAAAAAATATTTCATGGACATATTTTAAACATAATTTTACCTTTGACAATTTTAATTTAGAAATTTGCTTGATACAATTTAAACACTTTTATCTCAATAATCAAATAAAAATAAGTATATAAAATCGACAAAATTTAAACCACAATTTTGGCTGGTCTTTTTTTAGATTAATTACATTATTTCATTAACAGTGTAACTAATCTTTTATGCCTTATTATTTTGTTAACTAGACTCAATAATAATCTGGTTGTTCTTTTATCTCTTTAAAGCTTTAGATTTGAAGTTTGCTTGTGTAAGTTGCTAACCTTAAGCTGTTTAGCTCTACTATCACTGACTGCAAAGTTTTTCAAAATAACTTGTGAAATAATAATTACTAAGACATGCTTGGATCTATTTTGATTTTTTAATTCTATTTTGCCTTACTATTTGTCATTTAAAAAAAAAAAAAAAAAAAAAATAGACAAAAAAAAAAAAAAAAATTATTGCTTTGACAAATATTTGACAAAATTTGATAATACAATCTTGAAACTTATCTAGAGTAAATGGACAAAAAGGAGACAAACGTGTATTTTTTTTACACAACTAAAGGAGACAACCGTGGATTTTTTTTACACAACTAAAGGAGACAACCGTGGATTTTTTTACACAACTAAACTTAATATGAAGTTTATAAAAAAACTTCAAATTAAATTTAACTCTTAATTCATTAGGAAACCTCTTTTTATTCCCAGTTTTAAATCCCTTTGTAAGTTGTGCTCAAGAATTGCTAATCAAATTAAGTTATGTTAAAGTTAAAATAAATCAAGAAAATATGTTGTTGAATTAGTAAATATTAAAGTTACAATATGAGGAAAATATAAAGTAGTTGCTTATAGATCATCATTGGAAATACATATAGATGAAAATACATATAAATACATATATTGGAAATATATATTGGCAATAGATCATCATTGGAAAAACTAAACATTTCTTACACTAGATTACACATTTCAACAAAATATAGTTCTCCTACTTTAAAACTATTCAAATGCTTTTTATTTAGTTGTGATAATTTTAAATTATATAAGAGCTAATATAATATTATTTTAATAAGAGCTAATATAATATTATTTTTATAATATTAATATTATTAAACTAATATTAATACTATTTTATGATCTAAATTTTGTATTAATATTATAATATTATTAAACTTTGATGATTTTAAAAACGCAACTTGTTATTCTTATAACCTTTAACATTTTAACAAGATTAAGAGTAAGAGATCATACTTAAACCAGGGGGTTTATTTTTAAGTGTGTGTTTCATCAATCAATAACATTTAATCATTTGATAGTGTGATGTTAAGAACAGGAAGAAAAAAACTTTAATACACAAAAATAATAACAAAAAATAACAAAACTTTGATATACTAGATTAAATAAAAATAAAAATAGTTACGTATCCAAAAAATTTCAAGTCTCAAATCTTTGAAAACAACTAATTTTTGGTAAATACACAGAAAATAAATTTTAATTCAAAGTAATATTAGTAATTCAAGGTAAATAATAGTAAACAGTAATAATAGTAAATAGTGCTTCCAATACCGACAACATTTTTCAATACTGGTATTTTGGTACTGAATAATTTCAATACTGGTAATACCGGTATTAAACTCTTTTTTAAACTTATCATAATATGAATAAAATCTTCTGTTAATAGTAAAAATTTAATTGATTCGAGAAGCTTATTTATTTTATATCAAAATTACTGACTTTTTTCTTTTTTTCTTTTTTTTCCTCTGTAAAATAAGCCCATAAGAAACATAGAGCGTTCAGAGTATCATTCTCAAAAGATAATTGTAATTTTGATACCATGTTGCCATGTGCTGAAAATCTATGCTCTGATTTGACAATTGTTGGGTTCACAGTTTACAAATATTTAAAGAAATTTTGAAAAGATATATGCAACAATTTCCTCCTTCTTCGAAAACTGCCATCTCATTACATATAATTTTTGATAAATTATTCAAAATATTCAATTTTCCTTTGTTGTTAAATTTCTTATTTTTCAAAATTGCAAAATCAAGCTTTTCTTTCAATGGCACATTAACAGCGTAGTTACGCTTTCTGATTAAGCCGATCATTTAGTTGAGCAATTGTATTTACAATGGCTGATTTTAGATGTTAGAATTAAGGTGCTCGAAAGAGCCCTGAATCCAAGTTCTCATAAAGCTGATGGCCCTTGTGCAGATATTGTAATAAGCTGGAAAAAGATATACATCACACATTGAATCGTCGCACCAACATAGCTTTTAACTTAACAGCTAAATTGGTTATCTATCATGAACATTAGTATTGTATAGGCTGACAACAGTGTTGCATCATTTCAAAACAACAGCCAATTTTACTGGCTCAAGACATAAAACAACAGCTAAAATTTCATCAAACATCTTATCAGTTACCTCAACTTTGGACTCAAGGCTGATCAGACTTGAAATTTTTTTTAATTTTTCGAAACGTTTAAGCATTGTGTGCAAGCTACTCCAGCAACTTTAGAGTCAAGTATTACCAAGTATTATCAAGTTTGTCTAATGTGTATTTCTCTAAGTGTTTGATCATTATTCGTCGGAGAATGGCCAAACAATTTCACAACAGTACGCACCTTATTGATTAACTGCTGCAAATCATTAGTCAGTTCAATTCTTTTCACACATTACACCAGAAAAGTCTTCATCAACATTACTTTTTTTTTGCATCAGTTTCTAGCAATTCTCTCAGTTCTGTGACAAACACGCTTAAAGATGTCCGTGAAGGGCAGTCAATCTAGAAAAAACTGCAGGTTACGAATTGTTGTGTTGATTTTGTAAAAAATTGGTGATCAGAGGTGTGGATTTTTTAGCCATTAACAACAGTACAAATAAAAACGAAACTGATGGTGGTGCTGCATCTTGGGATGATTTCCACTTCAGCAAGTCAATTTTATGGTTAGCTCTTAGATGTGTACACAGTCCACTGGTACTTTCACTATTTGATTTATCTCTTTGTTGCATTTCTTACACTTTCCAAGTTGATTTTCTTTATCATGCAGAAAATAACACAGAGCTTTTGTCAACTCGTACGCCAGTGCAGAACTCTTTGAATACTTTTTGGGACATTTTATGTCTTTCTGGATATTAAGGTAATTCCATCTATTAGACAAAAAATATTGATTATTAGTTTTTAATTCAAAATGCATAAAGTTTTTTTAGTATACATAATTATAATTGTTGTTAATTCTATAACTTAACATGGCATACCATTGGCAAGTTACACCATGAATAACGTTTTATAATTTATCATTATGACATTTTTACAAAATTAAAAATATTCTCAAGTTTTAGTAATTTTCAATTAAAATTGCATGTGCATTAGCACTACTCCATTCACATTACATTTCCATTTCAACGTGCACTTGGTTAAAATAGTAAAAATTCTATTATGGAAATCAGCTGTAACGACTTCAAACTTTTCATCCTTTACGTCAGTGCAAAACTCATACATGTGTTCTACATTAAAGGAAGTGACGTAAGGATAATATTTAAAAAAAGTGTTTTGTTAATAAAAGGAAGACACAATTTTGTTTAGAATAAACAAGTTTTTTCTTTAACTAAATATTTTTAACAATAATTTTGTAATATAATGAATCAATTAAACAACTTATTATTTCTTTATCCCTTTAAACTCTTTAGCAAGCGTGATTTTATACTCTAATTACAAGATGAACGAGCATTGTTTATTGCTATGGATTTATTTTTTATTGGATGTTTTAAATATTCCATTTACTTTTGTGTTTCACATAAATAGAGCAATCGCATTCGCTATATCAAAAATATTTTTAATACTGGCATAGAGCCAAACCAATACCGGTATTTCTGTACTTAAAAAAGTCCGATAATACTGGTATTCCGGTATCGGTACTACCGGTTTTGGAAGCACTAACAGTAATTTTAGAAAACAAATTTTACTAATATAAAAAATTACTTCTTGTAAAGGCAATCCTCCACTAGTAAATGGCTGCACTGGCTGTCCTAAAAGAGTTTGTGCTTGAACATGTTGTTGCTGTATTTGTTGTTGTTGTGGATAATTTTGTTGCACTTTTTGATATTGCTGTTGCATTTGTGGATACTTTTGCATTAAAAAAAAAAAAAAAAACTGTTGGTTAATTGTTGAAATTTAGTTTAAAGTTATAAATTTGCTGTCCTAATTTCTTTGAGAAATAGGAACTTTATACTTAAAAGACAAGAAAACTTTTGATCTAAATAAAATAATTTATTCAATTCAGGCATGTGCTCAAGATTTTTCAGGATTAGAATAAGTTATAATTTTAATGAACATTTCTAAACCAATGACCGAAAAATACTTACAACAAAATACTTAAATGTGCCTCTGATTGCGCTAAAATTTTTTATACATCAATATCATTTGCTACAGGCAGTGCCGACCTTAGCCTTTTTGCCGCCCTCGTGCGAAATTTGTCCTGCCGCCCCTGAAAATTTTATAAACGTGCTGGTAAATTACATGGAAAATAATAACAAATCGAATTCAAAAATAATACTTTGCAATAAAACGCTATATACAAAGAAACATTTTTTGTTTATGTTTTACACAAAATACATTTAATTTTTTAAATTAATCTTACGAGCCTTCTTATCACCAAAATCTTTGATTAGGGTTGAAAAATCAAGATTTTCAGCATCATTCTTTTCAATCGATAGGGTTCCTAAACTTGAAAGTCTATCCTGCGACATTGTTGACCGCAGGTTTTTATTAGTTTCATTTTGGAAAAGCTTCTTTCCCCACTCGCTACAGTGACAGGTATTGTTAGCAAAATTCATGCAATCCATGTGTTTGGATACAAATCTTGCATTTTGTGCTGTTTTATAAAGTTTAAAACAATAATAGGAGTAATTTTATCCTTGACCATTTCAGAAAGAAAAGGTTTAATGCTCATCAGTTCATCGCAAAGGAGAACACCATTAATGTCCGATTTTAGATTTACAGTAAGTTTACTTTGAAGAGCTAAACATGATTTTAGAATTTCTTCTCTTTTTTGCAAACTATCGACATTATACAAAAAACCCCAAACTTCGGAATAATTCTCCAGTTGTATAAATCTTTCTCTCATTGAAATTAAAGATGTGTCTAAAAGAGGATTGAAGAAATCAATTTCTAATTTTTTTTCAGGAGAAAATAAATAAATCCCATCTTGGGCTGGTTCGTCAAAATGGCGTTTTATTCGTATTATTCTTTTAAGTGGTTTAAAAACAGGCTCCACTTGTAATTCTATAGCCAAATCCTTTGCTTTTATAATTGCATCTTTAAAACCACATTTTCTATAGTTTTCTAAAAATGAACAACAGCTTTTCAATAACTTTGCACATTGAGTGATGTCCATGTCTTTTTCTGAAAGAGTTTTACTAACAATATTGACTTGAAAAAGAACGTCATACCAGACAATTAAAGAGACAAAAAAGCTAAAATCTTTTAATTGCTCTCCTAGAGTTATCGCTTCATGTGCAGTTTCAGGATTACATCCTTCAATTTCTGACAATGCTATCAAAGCGTCATGTACATCACCAACTTGATAACGAACGGCTTATTACCAAATTTAAGCTATGGTTGCCGCAAGGAACATATAATGCTTAAGGATTAAGATTTAAAATCCTTTTTTGTACACCATTAATCTTTCCTTTCATATTTGATCCATTATCATACCCTTGACCTCTGCAGTTAGAAATTTCAAGTCCATGCTTAGTTAGCAACTCGATTAAAACCTCAGTAAGTCCTAAGCCTGTAGAATCAGAAACAGAAAAGAATCCTAAAAAGTACTCTTTAATTTCCACTCTAATGTCTAATGACAAGTCAACAATTCGAATAGTAAGAGAAAGTTGTTCTTTTCTAGAAATATCAGGTGTACAATCAGCAATGATTGAATAATAAACGGCTTTCAAGACTCGGTTTATTATTTCATCATTAAAATTTTTTGAGACATTAAATCTATTAACTCATTTTGAATATTTTTCCTGCAATAATGGTCTGAAGTGTCACCTTTTATTGCAAGTGCAATAAAAGGTGACACTTCACTTTTGCATCACAGGATCAAATTTTGCAAGCATCTGTATTAGTCCTAAGAATTTGCCATTTTGAGGCGTAAACAGTTTATCCGAACTCCCTCGAAAAGCCAGTTTCTACCCACTGCACAGTGGGTCAAGGTGTGCCAAAATTAAAAAAAACAAATTATGTTCAACGTAGGTTTATTGGTAATAGTAGTTCTCCATACTTATCAAGCTTTTAAAAAATGATATTTTTTAGCCACTAGCTTTTATATTAAATTTTTTATGGCTTGTTAAAGTTAAATTTTTTATTTAGATTTGTAAGTTTTTAAATGAAAATAAATAAAATAAATGTGTTGCTACACAGAAACTGTAAACTACTTTTTAATTTAAATTATTTGCGCTATAATTTTTTTATACATTGATAGATTGATCTTTTTTAAAACCAAATAACTTTGCTGCACATTTTTTTCTTGTAAGTTAGAAATTTTATTTTATTATTAAAATGATATGTTTTTACATGTTATTTTAGTGCAAATTTTTACTTACTTTATTTAATTAAAAAAATCCTCCATTATCCTCCAGTCTGAAAATGCATTAAAATCCTTACTTACTATACATATTATAATTTAAAGTTAGTATTAGCTTTAACAAAGTACCACCTTGTCTACAAATTAACTTATAGATAGCAAAGTATAACAAAAATTTTGTCCGCAACAAATAAATCACAGGATTTTTAATAAATTAATTTTTAATTAATCACTTGGTTTTTTTAATTAAAATAAAACACTTCATCTTTAAACCTAATATACTTTCATTTAAATGATTTCTAATGAGTATAATTTTGAATTTATAGGATAAAATGATTTCTAATGAGTATATTTTTGAATTTATAGGATAAAATGAAATACATTGATATATATACCTACATACTAGAAAATAAATTACAAATCTCTGACCATGGTGTTTTAAAGGATGTTATCAATGGCATGAATTTGGTAAATCCTAACCCTAAGCTGGAAACATTGCTAATTCACATGAGAAAAAGATGGCAGGACTTAAAAGGTAACCGTATTTGTTTTGAAAAAAAACACAAAGAGTGGCTACAGTCAGAGATTGATGTTTTTACTCATGTACCTGTGAAACAAGATACACGAGGCAGGCCTTCAATTGAGAATTTTGATGACTGTTCACTTCGAACAAAGTACAGGCGTTCCAACTCTCTACAACAAGGGCATTCATCCAATGAACTACTTTTTGCGGCAAAAATTACTCTTAAAAAAATAAATAAACTTGATGAGTTACATGCAGTAAAGAATATTTTTGACAGTAGTAAAAAAAATCTCAACAACTATCTGGCAATGAGGCTCTAGCTTTACTTTTAGATACAAATATGACCAAAGATGGCTATCAACTTTATCCTTTATATCACATAATAAAGGCAGCAAAATTATCTTGCTATCCGAAATAGAGATAGCTGATTATTTTGCTAAAATCTCAATGCAGAGCTTGGTAGACCACACTGCACAAAGACTATGTCAAGTACAGAATGAAGTTATTGAAACAGTTGCTAGTGATACAACCATATTTGCTACATTAAGACACAAAGCAGGATTTGATGGCTCAACAGGACAAAGTGTCTATAAGCAAACAGTGTCTGAAAGTGGTATCCGTAATATAAAAATAGAAGAGTCTTTGTTTTTAACATGCATTGTACCACTTGACTTGAGCACATTTGCTGGTGGAAAAAAGACGACTTTGTGGCGAAACCCAAAACCATCATCAACTCTGTATTGTCGCCCATTGCGTTTTCAGTTTGAAAATGAGTCTAAACAAGTATTAATCTCTGAAGAAGCTCAACTAAAAGTTGAAATTAGGAATTTAAATTGCACAAAAGTTATATTAAACAATGGCAAAGAACTTCAAGTAAAGCATGTGATTGAAATAACAATGATTGATGGAAAAGTACACACAGCTTTATCTGAGGCCACTAACTCAAGTCAGTGTTGTTCTATCTGTGGATGCTCACCAAAAGAGATGAACAACATTGATGCCAGCATAGTAAGAAATTACCAGGCAAAAGGCTTGCAGTATGGTTTAACTACACTGCATTGCTGGATTAGATGTTTTGAATGTTTTCTGTATATTGGTTACAAATTGCCCATCAAAAAGTGGCAAGCAAGAGCAGCAGAAGACAAAGCAAAAGTTGCTGACACAAAGTCTCACATTGAAAAAGCTTTTCTTCTCAGATGGGCCTTGTTGTTGATCAACCAAAGTCTGGAGGATCTGGTACATCTAATGATGGCAACACTTCTCGAAGAGCATTTACTGATGCCATTTCTTTTGCAAATATAACAGGTATCAATAAGGAACTAATTTTAAAATTGCACATTATTTTGTCAACCATATCAAGTGGCTATGAAATAAATACTGAAAAGTTTACCGTGATATGTACAAAAACTGCAAAGTTGTTTGTGAAGCTGTACCCATGGTACTACATGCAACAAAGCCTCCACAAACTGCTGATCCACCGCCCAGCAATAATTAATAGTATGTCACTTCCAATTGGTATGATGAGTGAAGAAGCACAGGAGTCAACCAACAAATATTTTAAACGGTTTTGTGAACGTCATGCTCGAAAAGCTTCAAGATATATGGCAAATGAGGACATTTTGAAAAGATTTCTATGCTCATCTGATCCTGTCATAGCATCATTGAGGCAAACCTGCACTTCAAAAAAGAAAGACTTTCCTGTTGAGGTTTTGGAGTTGTTATTAGCAGGAGATAACATTGTAAATTTGTAAATACTTCATTTAAATATATGCAGACATTGATGGCTGCCTTAAAGTTGTATGAGTTAAATGAGTTGATAAGACAAGAAAGTATTTTTTCATAAAATTGTATGCCTATCAAAAAAATTATACTGTAATTTTTTTATGTTTATTCTGTGGATTTTGTTTGAATTGAAAAACTGCATATTTTTTTAATTTTTTTGCTGTATTTTTAATTATTAAAAAAAAACAATAAATTTTTATTTTTTATTTAGTCACAAATATATTAAGAAGCTCAAAG